ATGTTTATGAGTTTCTCGAAGAATAAATTCACACTTTTGCAGCCAAACTCGGTAACAGATGTTTCTGTTGGTTTCCGTCCGCCATGTTGGAGCTCATCCAGGTGAGCACCAGCATGGCCGTCTCCATGCAATAAGTTTGTGTAAAACATTTCTTCGGATATCTCGTATACGAAAGATTCCTCTGACCTGAATCTTGGCAGGGTCTTTGTAAATGTACTTCCTTTCATTTTCCAGATTCTGGACTTTATCTATTGAACGGTTTAGATTTTTATTTTGATCTATTTTGAATGGCGTGACACTGAAAGCCAGCAATAAACATCTGCTGAGTACCCTCGGTTACCAGACTGGTTAAAGGGCCTCCTAAAATAGGGATCCTAAAACGTTCGAATTCTTGTGGACGGGGCCTACTGAAGTATTTTAAAAATTCCGACGCTGGGATCTCTTTTTTTTCTTTTTTCCTCTTGAAAGACCCTCTTGATATGTCACACAACGTGAATAACTAAAAACGTGACGAAATCCTGTTTAATAATCACTAAAAAATTCCACGCTTTGTTGCTCAAAACAGGTGGATGACAGTACCACCGCCAGCATTATTTCTGCCATTTTTGTTTTCCGGCAAGCTTTCTCTTAAGCAGATCATTTAATAACATTCGTAAAAATTAAAGATTTTTCTTAATTGATCAAGAAAGAAATTTAAATTCACAAGACTATCGCGTCAGTGTTTTGCAAAACGGCGAGACGAGATGGTAATCAAAGCAATTCACGGGTTACTCTCAGAAGACATGCAAAGCGTTTTGTTTCATAAACAAGCTAAACAATTCACAGGTTACTCTCAGGAGGCCAGCCAAGCGTTTAAGCTAACTGTCTTTCATCTAATGAAGAACAGTTAATATTTTGAGATGATAAATTTTTTTTGTCTTTTTCTGGACGATGTTCCTCATGACACGGGCCGTTCCTCATACGGTCGGTGTCATACGTGACGTCACGAGTGTGTATCGATTATCAACGATTGTGCCCCATAAACGTCTGGAAAGTTCGTCTGAAATAAATTTTACGGGGGGCTTTGTTCCGCGCTTGTTCGGCAGTGAGGCTCTTTCCTCGCATGACTTAGCAGAAGGAGTGTTGGTTCAGAATTCACTGATTTCGTTCAATACTGGTTAAACTCGATAAACCATGAAGTTGTGGCGTGCAGTGTGCATTTGGATTTCTTGCGTTGTGATGCAAAATGTTTACACTGGTGCCTCGACGATAAGGAAATACTACATTGCCGCTGTAGAGAAAGAATGGGACTACGCTCCGAGTGGCTATAACAAGGTGAAAGGCGTCAAACTTGCCGACGACAGGTAAGATATATAGAAAAGAGACACAGTTACTTTCAATAAGATAAATGATATGATCCATTATGACACGATTATGAACGTTCCTCCGCGGGAAGGTACAGCGGGAAGGGACTCTCGACAACCAAAATGAAGCCATGCGTTATGCAATACGTATACTTTGATTAGTAGTACGTGATGTTTGAAGATGCACTGTCATTTCTCATATAGAGGAAATTTCAAGGCACTTAGTTCTGAACTTACCAAATTTAGTCCGAGAATTAATGTAAGTGGGCATACAATCATATCATTTGGAAAATAGTCATCGTCCATCTCTGCTTTTGATTTGCGTGATTTAATTTTGCTTCGCCGTTTTGCTTTTTACCCTTTTGACTACCGTGAATTGATTGCTCCAGTCACAACGATGGAACCTTGGAATTATGCTATGTTTTCACTGATCTAAAAATGACAAAAAAGTGGTTACTTTTGAAGAATGCAGCTCGCAGGCTGTGTTTCTTCCGGGATTCCTTCATTTCTGTGATGTGCAAGGCGAATAACAGCTGGGATTTCCGGGAATCTTGTGAGGTCACGGTCGTAGTGTGAACAAGTGTCAGATGTTTGTGTTCGAGAGTTTTTGTTTCTGTTTTAGAGATGCATGATAGCAACTGATAAAGACGATGAATGCTGTTTCCAGTTGCTTTCCTTTGTCTGAGACAGCTACAACTGATGTACATTCCTACATCACAGGGAACTGACTTTTTTTTATCCGTATGTCACGCAAATATTGAAACAAAACTATATTTTTAAAGATCTATTTATCACCCATGATTTAGGAAACCTGCATAGGTTTGTTAAATTCCACTTAAACTCTCAGAAATATCAGATCCCAAAATCTGAAAAAAAAACCCGGATAATTATGCAACCTCATTCTCACGCACCCCTCTCTCTTTTCTTGGAGGGAGGAAGAGAGAGGACACTGGGAACAAGTTTGAAATGAATGTATTGCACTCTCCCCTCTCCCCTGCTCTTATTTTTATAGGTTTGGTACAGACTTTTATAAAATTTCACAGTTTGATAAATCGATCTGTGAAGAGGTAATTTATTTCACTTGAAAGCATCAAAAATTGCAATTTTGTGTACCATAAGTAATTTTAAGACAATGGACCTTTGTCATGCGATGGCCTTTTTGTCTCGGGAGGTTTGAAAAGCTTTGTTTATGTGCGGCTAGCCTTATTCTCTCTATGAGGCCAGCTGTGCATAAACAAAGCTTTTTAAAGATCCTTTTTTTTCAGATTTTGGAATCTGATATTTCTGGGAGTTTAAGAGGAATTTAACAAACCTTTGCAGGTTTCCTAAATGATGAGTGATAAATAGATCTTTAAAAATATATTTTTGTTTCAATATTTGCATGACATATGGATAAAAAAAGTCTGTTCCCTGTGGTGTAGGAATGTAGGTGTCTCAGACAAAGGAAAGCAACTGGAAGCAGCATTCATCGTCATCATCGGCTGCTATCATGCATCTCTAAAACAGAAACAAAAACTATCAAACACAAAAATCTGACACTAGTTCACACCACGACTGTGACCTCAGAAGATTACTGGAAATCCCAGCTGTTATTTGGCTTGCATATCACGGAAATGACCCTTTGGGGAGGAGTATTGGCTGTCCTGAAGATAAAGAATGGGTACAGACAATGTTGTTTTGTTTTTTATCTTCTAAAAATTTTAAAAAAATTTAATATTCTATGAGAAGTGTTTCAGTTTTGGAAGCAAGGACCAAGATTACAAAATAGAAGGACTGGATCTAATCAGTTGAGAATTAAAATATCTGAACAATGGAAAGGAGCAAGGCTGATTTTACATTTGGGAATATAATTTTTTTTTGTTTTGCCAATATTTAAAAAGGCATGGCCTTTTTTCTTCATGGTCTCGCATACATATGAGAAGTCTGGAACAAAAAAGCGGTTCTTAATGACCATTTGGCCCACTACTGTGTGATATCTGCATGGCATTCGATTTTTTGGGAGATTATTTCTTGACTACCTCATTAAAGGTATAGTGTAAAAATTTAAATTACCCCAAAATCAGTCTGTGTGTGGCCATTACTCTTTTTGGCACCTAAAGGAGACCAATTGGTATTCTTTTCCACGGATATTTCTTGGCACACAACCTCAAGCCATAAATGTATGGATAAAAACATTAGCTTTCCCCCTGAATATATAAGAAATATCAAACCTGCAATTTCCCCATAACTATCATGGATTTTTTCTGGGGATTTCTCAGTTACGAATTAAAATCTCACCCCATTTCTCGGCCAACAGTGAAATCTTTAGGTCTTAAAATTTCGTTATTGTTTAATTAATCTCCATTCAAAACCGTCACTTTTGTAACATTTGAACCTGTGAGGTTACCTCTCAGGCACATGTGTGCCCCCAAAACTGGCACTCATGTGCGTTGTGCGCTGTGTTTTTGGCTTGCATAGAGTGACTCGATCTTGAACATGTTTGAGTAGTTTCAAGTTATTTAGTTTTTGCCTTTTTTTCAACTGACTTTACAACACTCTCCAAACCTTATAAGCTCATCACAAATAAAGTGTTATGTTTTCCTGTTGTTTTTCCTTTTCCTTCCCCCGGTGCACCAAGTTAGAGCTTAAAGTACTCAATTTGTGTTTAGGAAAAAAAAAGAGTTCTGAAATATTTGGCAGTGTTGACCATTCCCAAAACTCAGTGTTGATACTTGATTCCCATTGGGTGAAACGACCGAACTTGATTGTTTGACGACGTTCTTTTTGTCGTCACGCAACGCTTCTGAACGAAACACAAAACACAGAGAACGGTTGTGTAAGAGACTACAGGCGACGTGACGTAAGACTCTTTGATGAACGTTTCGCTCCATTTAATGGAATCTAAGACAGTCTTGGATTCTGGATTATATGTTGTGGATTCCGGATTCTGGATTCCAGGTACATGGATTCTAGATTCTTGGTCAGTGAAATTTGGATTTCCGGTTCCAATCGTTACTGAGTGGGATTCCTTTTTGAAAGACCCTCTTCAAATGTCACACAACGTGAATAAACAAAAACGTGACAAAAATCCTGTTTAATAATCACTGAAAAATTCCACGCTTTGTTGCTCAAAACAGGTGGATGACAGTACCACCGCCAGCTTTATTTCTGCCATTTTTGTTTTCTGGCAAGCTTTCTCTAAATCATTTAATAACATTAGTAAAAATTAAAGATTTTTCTTAATTGATTAAGAAAGAAATTTAAATCCACAAGACTATCGTGTCAGTGTTTTGCACAACGGCGAAATAGTTTTTAAAAGACGAGTTAATCAAAACAATTCACGGATTACTCTCAGAAGACCAGTCAAGCGTTTTATTCCATAAACAAGCTAACTGATTTTCATCTAATGAAGAACAGTTGTAAATATTTTGAGATGATAAAATTTTTTTGTCTTTTTCTGGACGGTGTTCCTCATGGCACGTGCCGTTCCTCATACGGTCGGTCTCATACGTGACGTCACGAGCGTGTATCGCCTGTATCTTCGTCTGGAATAATTTTACGGGGGGCTTTGTTCCGCGCTTGTTCGGCAGTGAGGCTCTTTTCTCGCATGACTTAGCAGAAGGAGTGTTGGTTCAGAATTCACTGATTTCGTTCAATACTGGTTAAACTCGATAAACCATGAAGTTGTGGCGTGCAGTGTGCATTTGGATTTCATGTGTTGTGATGCAAAATGTTTACACTGGTGCCTCGACGACAAGGAAATACTACATTGCCGCTGTAGAGAAAGAATGGGACTACGCTCCGAGTGGCTATAACAAGGTGAAAGGCGTCAAACTTGCCGACGACAGGTAAGATAAATAGAAAAGAGACACAGTTACTTTCAATAAGATAAATGATTTGATCCATTATGACACGATTGTGAACGTTCCTCCGCGGTAAGGGTCTTTCGACAACCAAAATGAAGCAATGTGTTAGTAGTACGTGATACAAACATTAACCACAAAGGACTGCAGATGACCGCAAACGAATATGCCGAAGAAAGTAGGATCTATAAAGACCTGATCAGCAAAAATAATAATGTAGACATATTAAATTCTGCAAGCAGAATACTGCAATGCTGATCGCACTACGTGAAAATTAACTCTGCAAGACATCAACACGACACCGAAAGAACTCAAAACAGAGCGGGATTGTAGCCGTGGACAGCTGTTTCGCTCTTTTTGGGGCTCGTGATAGTTGAAGATGCAGTGATATTTGTCACATAGAGGAAATTTCAAGGCACTTTGTTCTGAAGTTACCAAATTTAGTCCGAGAATTAATATAAGTGGGCATACAATCTTATCATTTGGAAAATAGCCATCGTCCATCTTTGCTTTCGATTTGCGCGATATAATTTTTTACTCTTTTGACTACCGTGAATTGATTGCTCCAGTCACAACGATGGAACTTTTGAATTATACTATGTTTTTACTGATCTAAAAATGACAAAAATAATCAGTGGTTGCTATTGTAGAAATGCAGCTTGCAGGCTGGGTTTCTTCCGGGATTCCTTCATTTCCGTATATTTCGTTCCATGGCCAGATCGTTCCAGCAAATAGTCAGTTCGTTCCACAAATGTTACATCTATTTTCTAAATGTGTAAATGGATGAAAGTATTTTGACCTATTTTCAGAACTATTTACATAATGCTGAGAGCGTCGTATGTTAATTAGTCTCGCTTGTGTGAGCAGCGAGACTCATAATCTGGAACGCGTTTTTCGCCCCGGGGCGGTAGTCCCTTATATAGGCTGTATAGGTATGTGGCGCGCCAAAAGGTTTTTTTTAGCCATTTTGGTTTGAATCGACCATTTTGGTCTGAAACAGGGTATGGTTTGTGCCCTCTAGTCTTGAATTGGGTATTTTTTTAGAAGAATTAGCTACTTCTTCATCATTTGGCGATAAGACCATTTCCCTTTTAATGTTTACTGATCTTTACTCCAACCACCGTGTACGTGCCGTGCCGTGCCGTGCCGTAACAGCTTGTCATGCGCTCCGGTCACGCGCCGGGCTCCAGGGCTTCAGGTCTGAAATAGGGTATCAAATTTTTGATCAGGTCGGAAATAGGGCAGGGAAAATCACAGATTTTGGCCTGAAATAGGGTAAGAGTTTCAGGAAGCGTGCTGCACACCCCACCCAATTATTCTGGAAGTACCTCCCCGGAATTTTTGGTCCGTTTTGGGGTCACAAAAAGCAGGCCATTGTGCCAGGCGTTCCTTGTGGAGACCGTGGAAACTGGGACTAAGAATCGTTGCTTGATTGAAGCCACGCATGTTTTGCGAAGAAAGCTTAGGAAAGATTAAATTTAGAGCTTTTCCGAAACGTGTCGGTCCACGAATTCTTTCGCTTGAAAGCGTTGATTACTTTGGAGCAAGTGAACACTACTGAGTGATCGAAAAAAAAAATAAGAATCTTAATTAGCAAAATTGCGATGATCGGCTGTTGTAAACTTTCACTATATGCAAATGAGTCTTGTGGTGAGCATGAGATTTATTTTCGGCGGGGATTGAAATGACGTGCCATGTAAATCACTTTTTCGATATCTGGCGATGATGTAATTTCTCTGGAATCGAGGCCCTTGAATTTTCGTGTATTTATACACGCGTATAGCCTGCTACCGGAGAGGTATTTTAGTACACGCGTACTAAATCAATTCAGAAACAAATAACAAGTATCGGCGTCAATAAGGAAGTAAGAACCGTTAGCGAGTAAATCAGTCTCCCCAATTAGTAAGGCACTGTGCCTGAGCTATAAGACATGAGACTATTAGAACTGCTATAAAGTCAAAAAATGATCATGCTTATGAAATCGCTTATTTGAAATGTACTCTTAATCTGAACTCAAATTTCAAAAATGAAGCATTTTCGTTTAATATAAGCCGTCATCCTAACCATTTCGTACTTGCGGGCGCAAACAATAGAGACGTCATCATTACCTACCGATTCCTCGCGGCCCCTGTTCAAGCAAATCGCGATTTTTAGTCTCGCTTGCTTGAGCAAAGCGAGAATCTTAAAATGCGGTCGGGTTTTTTTTTTTTCGGTGGGACCTAGTTTGTAGGCCCCGCGTTCCTAGCGAAGACCGTGGAAACTGGGGTAAGAATCGTGACGACTTTCATTGTATGGAAATGAGTCTCGTGATGAGAATGCAGTTTATTTCGGCGATGACTGAAATGACGCATGTAAGTTTGGCAATGACGCAATTTTCCTCGAATGGAGGCCCTTGATTTTCGTGTAATTATGCACGACATGCAGGCACATCCCCAAGCAGGATGAGAAAATATTATAGCGGGGAATGGCTTTTTAAGGCGTTACGTTTCTCAGAATATTGTCGCAATTACAGAAAATGTACGGTTAAATAGATTCACTTTGTTTTATGTATTTACTTGATAGATTTTCGCAGTTGTTACGATGTGAAGTCGTGTTGCACTTCATAAATACTTGAGATATGAAGTATCCACTGTCACGTAATTTTTACGTGCGCACGTGCGTAAAATTTGCGTTCGCAAATAAAATAAAGGCAATGTATGAAAGGCTGCACGTACAATTATGTAAGCGTAAAAGTAGAAACTCGCTTAATTTGACGTCTAATCTCAATACTTTATGTCTTACCTCTATTTGATTTACGTGATTAAAATTTACGTGTGTTAACGTGCGGAGCCAAAAACGCAACAGTGGAAATCCACCCTAAAGTGTCACGGATTATAAGGGTAGCTTTGAACTTGACTAACCGCACGCTCTACTTGCAGCACTTCNCGATCGATCGATCGATCGATCGGTCGGTCGGTCGGTCGGTCGGTCGGTCGGTCTGTCTGTCTGTCTGTCTGTCTGTCTGTCTGTCTATCTATCTATCTATCTATCTATCTATCTATTCATCTATCTCAAATGCATGCTGTGTACAACTCTAAATATTGTACTCTGAGACTGTACGGAGATATTAAAAGTAGATACTAAGCAGCTGTGGAAAATGTCATTACTTTCATGTGATATTGATATCTTATAAAACGGACAACAAATTCAGCAGGAATACGCGCGAACTGAATTAACTGTATGTTGTATATAAATAATAATAATAATAATGTTTATTTCTTATATTGCGCAGTCTAGCATGCGATAAAGATATGATCGAATGCGCATTACAACACTAAAATCTTAAAGTAATAAATGGCTAGTCCAAATAATGATAATAATAATAATAATTTGCAATTTTCGGAAAACAATTAAAGTAAAATATGAGTTAATAAAAGAACTAATAAAAAGCTAATTTAAAAAGATGTGTCTTTAGTAAAACTTTAAAAATGTTCAATGATTGACATTGTCTAATTTCTAGAGGAAGTCGATTCCATACTTTGGGCGCAGCATTTTCAAACGCCCTATCCCCGAGTGTCTTTTTTGTTCTATAGGTATTGTCCATTAGGAGTATGCCCCGGTATGATCTCAACTGATACCGCGAGCTCTCTTTGATTTTTATCAAGTCTAAAAGATATTGTGGTGCGACGACGATATTGTGGTATAAGGTTCTGTTCAACTTACACTTTTTTCCTGTGCTGAACATATACTGTAGCGAGCCGTATCTTGGTCCGGTACAAAGAAGCTATGTAAATTTATACTGACAGAGTCATGGGCCCCTGATACTGATAAAAATCATCGTTCAATGTTTCGAGTGTAGAATCCCTGAAAGAGTACTCCTCAATGGAGCAATATCAATGTGTAGAAGGTTTTCAAACGTTTCACACCGGTTTGAGGCTAAGATGTGCGGCCTGTCTCTCCTTGCAATTTTTACTTTTTGAGTATATACAATATGACATACAACGCTCGTTTTGTATTTCAAACGAAAAAGTAGTATAACGGCACCGGGGCCTTTGACAACAAAACTCTTCTCCAAGCAAGCGAGACTCAACGCTACTAAGAGCATTCTTGTTTCTATATTGACTGTATGACTGTATATTTCAACTGTAAGTACTTTCCTTAATATACGCGCGAGTTACTAGAGTGCCTCCTCGGATTTCGCCTTCTGGGCAAAATCCCTGCGGGAGCAACTAGCAGAACGATGGACGATTACAGAAATTCGCCGATCATCAAATTCTGTGCTGACCTATTCCCTGCTCACCGATGTCCTTCCGCTGTAAAGTTTAAAATAAGACTAGAATACGCGCGCGTGAATTGATCAAACGTCCTTTTAATTCCTAAGGCTCACTTTCCGGCAAATGAAATGAACTAAATGTAAAAAGTGAAATAGAAATAGCGAAAAATTAAACTTCTAATTAAATCTTTTCTTATGGTTTAGAATAAACTATTCTTGAAACTGAGAATGATTATGTTTTGATCAAAGCTGTGTACATCGAACCGAAACTGTGCATGGAACCTCGCGTTTATTTCCTGCATTTATGTCACCTATTGTATGGAATATGTGTGAACATCTTCATTATGAATCGGTATATTTCAAAGAGCTACACAGGGAGCAAGAATACTGTATACAGAGCGGGGGCAGCTGTAGTGTCAACTATTACTAGTGACATTTCTAAATCATTTCTATGGCTGTATAAAGCCTTCTACAGACACATAAGGCCACAGTTTAATGATCTGTTATGCAAATTAGCACGTTGCTAAGGCTAAAACATTGTTTACGACGCCATATTGAGAGCACGTCACGCAACGAGTTCAAACGAAGATTTTCGTATTTTCTCGCCACTTTCCGTGCTACAATCGGATCAGTGTCACAACAAACATTAAGAACAGCGGTTTACTCGTAAGAATTCAAGATGGCGACGAAGAAAACAGCGCAGTGCGACGAAAATTAAGGGCAAATAGACCTTTTTACCGATACGGCGGCCATATTGAATTTATTAGATTTAAGGAGTATTATGGGATGCCTAGGGGGCACTCGCTCAGTATTTACGCCCGCTTTTCGCGCGAAAAGAGAACTTCAATGTATATTTCTCGGGAAGAAATATACATTGAAGATGTAACCTTTGCACAACGATCTTTTTTTGCCATTATAATTTTTTTCTAGGAAAACTTAAAGAAAAATTAGCCCGAAAAGCGCGCGTAAATACTGATGCAACAATACTGGATCGTCCTCATGTCCCCTGGGCATCCCATAATACTCCTTAAATCCAGTTAATTCAATATGGCCGCCGTATCGGTGAAAAGGTCTATTAGGGCAATTTTGCGGCTGTGTTGGACCGCACTGAAAACAAATCGATGTAAAAAGATGAGCATTTATAATACCGCGCTGAAACCTGTCAGGTTTATTCACATGATGTAAAGGAAAAATGTATTGAATTCCCAAATTCCCGGAATATTTTGGGATTTTTGCGGCGGCCTGAAGTTACAGGGCATTACAAAAAAATTCCGCCTCTATATCTCCGGAAAAATTTACTGGCTACTGCCGGGAATTTAAAGGTAAATGAACTAACTAAGTATAAGTCAGTTCCGATTTTCTTGTTATTCCTAGTTGTCGTGAGAAAGCCAGAAATACGGAATTATTGAATTTTTGAGCCTGCGATATAAATCGGAAATAACACCTTAGGTGTGAAAATTGACACCTCGCATATCAATTTTCTGAAAGCTCAGCTCTCGCTTGATAGGCCTGTGTAATTTTTATTTTGCCAAATTCTTAATCATTTGAGAAATAAATTTTTCAAATGGAAAGGTTTATAGCAGCTCTAATACCTTAATAAAGTTCATTATTAGTTATTATCGTGTTTCTTGTAGAATTAATCGCCTCCTCATTTTTCTATCTAATCTCCAAGCAGGCGAGACCTAAATGCCGCTGTAAGCGCGTTCTTGTTTCACTATGCATTGCGGAACGATGTGAGAACTATTCACACAATGGCGAGAGCTTATGTTTGTTGGATTAATCTGTTTGTCGATTTTTGACCACAACACAGAAAAAATAGCTTGCTTCTCTCCTATTTGGGCGAGTGGAACGAGTCTCGCGAGAACGCGCGAGCTTCGCTTGCCTAAATAGGAGAGCTTGCTCGCAGGCTACAGAAAAAACTATGAGCAATATCTATAATTTATACTCCCTATCTCAGTTTTAATCCTGTTGTGCGGCTAGCCTTGTCCTCTCTACCAGGCTAGCTGTGCACAAACAAAGCTGTTTAAATATCATGAGACACAATGGCCACCATGTGACAAAGGTATATTGTCTTAAAATTACCTATGGTACAAAAAATTGCAATTTTTGATGCTTTCAAGTTCAATAAATTATCGCTTCATAGATCAATTTATCATACTGTGAAATTTTATCAAAGTCTGTGCCAAACCTATAAAAACAAGACGCAGGAGTGGGTGAACCCGGCCTTCTTTTAGTTCATAAAATGATAGAGCGCCGGGGGAAAATGTGCACTATGCAGTAATGCACCACAACCCATATGAACTTTAATGATGAATTGATGATGAAGAAATGGAAAAAAAATACTACCGGCTAGCAGATCAGACTGGAAATTAGACTCGAACGTTCCAAAGGGGTGTATTTGAGCATGACTGCATAATGCTTCAAAGTAGTGTTGCAGCTAGTTTTCTTTTCTTTAAATTAGCATGAGCTTCAGTCACAATCTTGGGTAGTAAACTAATTTTGAGGGGAAAATCTTTGAAATAACACCCAAGTAACTTTCCATGAGTAAGATGTTTATTCTTATTATTGTCACTCTCATACAAGTACTTCAAAGACAAACTACCGGCACCTTCTTTAAGTTAATTAATCATCAGAAAACTTCGAAAAGTGTTGCTGCACTTATCGTTTGATTTAGGATCAAGTTCATCTTCTCTGAAAAAAAAGTAAATAAATAAAGGATATGTCAATATTTCATTGCCTTACTTGTCATTTATTCAACAACAATCAAAGAAGTAACCATAGAAAACCCAAACCTATACCCTTGTGTACCTAGATGAGGATAATCTCGAAACCAACTTAAAATATAGAATATTATAATCGATTTGTCGATCCTTTTAATTGCAAGTTTGAATGTACAGTAGCTGACAGCAAAGAGAAAAATTTCTAGCATTAGATAATTTTGAAATTTCTAATAATGTTGGATCGATGGAGTTTTGCAAGATCGAAATTCGATAGTAAGCTATCGCCCATTTTTTAAAAAGCTATAAGCTTACATGTAATCTCAGGGGCGGATCTAAGGGGAGGGTGCACGTGATATTCCGCGAGTACAGGCATGCGCTTTAAAGAGCAGAGGGCTATTCGATTCACCGGCGAAAAATATCTGATTGGTCGACGCGCGACCACTTGACATTGCCACATTCAAAATGGCGGCAATACCTCCATCGTTTGTTTATTCCAGTGGAAAGAAGATTAATTGCGGCTTGATATGAGTTGCAAATGCATATACGGATATTTTTAGAATAGCCTAGACTTTTTATTGTCCTTTTTCACCTATTCCTATGGGATTCGTTCCCTGCGATGCTCGCGTTTTGACCGGTTTACCGCATTCAACTTTGGACTCTTCACGATCACGAAGGACAACAATATTATATTTTTGATGAAAGCCGGGTCACTAGAAAGAACGGCCTTTGTTCACAGCTCTATGCAGCGGAGAAATAAGACAATATGGGTCCTTTGAAATTGCTTAGACACCTGGAAGTTATTTTATTATTTTTTTACCGAAAAGATAAAGCAAAATTATGTTTTCTCCAGCAAGACTTTCTAATTTATATATAAAAAAGCTTGAACATGAGCTAAATGAACTGTAGTGTCTGCATTCATGTTCTTTTCATTGTGAACGGGTGCAATTTTAATATCAAAACTTTAAAGCCGAGTATGACCGAGCAGGTTTTTTTTTCTTTTTTCTTTTCAATGGTTACTGTGCTTGAGTCTGAATAAGATAATGAAATTTTTAAAATTAGGGGAATACTATATATAAAAGAAGAGANACGAAGGACAACAATATTATATTTTTGATGAAAGCCGGGTCACTAGAAAGAACGGCCTTTGTTCACAGCTCTATGCAGCGGAGAAATAAGACAATATGGGTCCTTTGAAATTGCTTAGACACCTGGAAGTTATTTTATTATTTTTTTACCGAAAAGATAAAGCAAAATTATGTTTTCTCCAGCAAGACTTTCTAATTTATATATAAAAAAGCTTGAACATGAGCTAAATGAACTGTAGTGTCTGCATTCATGTTCTTTTCATTGTGAACGGGTGCAATTTTAATATCAAAACTTTAAAGCCGAGTATGACCGAGCAGGTTTTTTTTTCTTTTTTCTTTTCAATGGTTACTGTGCTTGAGTCTGAATAAGATAATGAAATTTTTAAAATTAGGGGAATACTATATATAAAAGAAGAGAACTTCGATTGCAAATATGTTAGTTATGGAAAAATACTGATTATATCTTTTTAGTACAAATTAAAGGTTAGAAAAGTGATGCGTAGTCAAAAGTGCTACAAAGGAGTAAAAACCCAGATCTTCCCATTAATAAATTTTATTGACACTGTCAGGGACATATGCCTTGCTTGAGTACACATTTTGTTCGTCAAAAATCTTGTTTGTGAGGCTGCACTTTTTTTGACTCAGGATCAATCATTCTCTTCTAAAGAGAAATGAACAATAAAGTATGTTAACACTGTCAGATACTTCAACACTGCCTTAGCCAACAACTAAGAAGAAACTCAACTTTATATCAAAAAAACAAAGTGAAAACTACTTCACCGTGAAACAACAACCCCTTCGAATATATATCACATTAAATTCATGCAAAATGTAGACCTTATGATAAGTTTACAGGAATAGAAACAAACAATAATTGCAATGAAACTATAAAGTTTGAATGAGATCTGTATTTGAGTGTTCTCTCATAATTCTGGCAGAGGATCAAAATTGGAAACTGCATATCCCACACAACAGCACTCATCAACATGATCCAACTAAAATTTCATTAAGACTCAAAGTTTACTCCAAACTTTAAACTCCTGTAAGTTTAATTTGTGATGATTAATTTTTTTTCTTGAAAAGAACTTTTGAATACATAATAGCATGTTAACTCTATCATTCATTCATAACTTTGCTCCAAAAAAAACTAAGCCGAAAACGATGGACAGAAAACGTGACAATAGCATTCACAGGAAAATTACCCTGTTCATCTCCTTCCAGGATCCAATTTTCAAGCAAAGAAACACCCCCCACAGAAAGCCTTGTGTGCAAAAATTTAGTACCAAAAAACTGTCCTCGGATGAAATCATGTCCGTAACTGCGGTTCCTAAAGTAACAAGTAACTCGTTGTGTGGATAATCCCAAACCAAATTTATGAGCAAAATAATCTATTAACCTTCGATCCTTCAATTATTAAATTGCAAGCCTAAATGTACAGCAGCTGTGCACATTGTAAACAGAATTTTTTTACAAATCAGAATGTTGCTGGACCCATCGAACTGTAGCTCCAAGACGGTCTAAGCGTTTTAATGAAAACACTCTCACATTTTCTTATTCGACAGTTCGGATAACACTAAAATTTCTGTAACATACAAAGCTGTAATGATGTGCAACAAAAATGAAATGTGTATCGATCGAAAAAATCACGTCACTTTAGAAAACTGCCGCAACCCGGCCGCTTTCGATCCACTAGCCACAAAACAGTATACACAGCAAGAAAATGGCTAAGAATATTTCTTTACCTTTTTTATCATTTCCTTTTGTACCGAGTGACACGAGATTATAAAGTTGAACCAAGCGTAAGCTTATTTTTCTGCCATAAACAGTGTAAACACACGGAGATTTAGCATCTAAATACAGTTTTTCCAGCAACAAAGTACAAGCTAAGTCATGTTAACAAAACAAAGCCCAACAACGTCTGTCCTTCTACTTTCTTTTTGTTGAATCCGTGATAAGAAACTTGAACTAAACAACAAAAGCATTTTGAATAGCGTTGTAATACGCTCTTCGATCAACAGTCGAATGCTGGCGAATGTTAGATTTACGATCAAAGTCGAATTTTGACACAAAAACGGGATACACATTTAACAAAACTGTCGCTTCCGTGCAACTCGGTACAAGCTAATTTATATACCATGAAATCTTCAGGTCTTAAAATTTCGTTATCGTTTAGTTAATCTCCATCCAAAAACGTCCCTTTTGTAGCATTTGAACCTGTGAGGTTACCTCTCAGGCACATGTGTGCCCCCCCCCCCCCAAAAACGGTTACTCATTTGCGTTTGTTGCGCGCTGTGTTTTTGGCTTACATAGAGTGGCTCGATCTTGAACATGTTTGAGTAGTTTCAAGTTGTTTAGTATTTGCCTCTTTTTTCAACTGACTTTACAACACTCTCCAAACCTTATCTTAAGAGTGTGTCCATGAGGAAACCAGGCAGAACCAGGCAGGGGGTGGTAATGCTCAAATCACCGATTTCGCTCAAACTTGGCACAAATGTTAGGTATCAGGAGTTAGCTTATGTGACAGAATGTCAGATCAAAATATTAAATTCCCTGGGAGATCCGGGCTCCCCCTGTAAAAATCGCCATTTTGCCCGTTTATGCATAATTAATTAGCTAACTTTACAATGCCAGTGCAACAAACAGAAAAGCCACCTGGAACTTAAATGCACTGAGAGATAATCTGACATCATAAGAATTTAAGCACAATAAACTGTTTAAAGTCGCCGATTCGATTTCCCCCGTCTTAGCCCCCTTAAGTTGGGTCATCATTTCCAAGTTTTGAGTAAGACGTAAAATTAGGGTATTTTATTCCCAAATATCTCCGATGAGCAATCGCTTATCTTTACAACTTTTGCATGAGTAGTTAAAGCCATCACTTAAGTTGAGAAAAAGATCATAAAAAGTTTGGGCAATTCACTTTCTTCCATGTGTTGACATAAACTGTTCATGTGACTGAACGACTTTTGCATATTTCATCAAAATTCAGGCACTCACAATATTCGTGTGTTTGCCTTGGAATGAGGAGAAATCGAACAAAAAACTCATCAGACAATGATTTAACATTAATAAGGGTAAAATCATAAAAATTGTTCTGCAAGAAGCGCTAACGATGATTTTTGATAGCTATATACGCGATCTTTTCAAGTAAAAACAACATACAAAGATTTAATTCACAGTTCTACTTACTTTAACAATTTCGCCCTAAAAACAATATAAGCGATCAATAAAATCCATATACGTATCTCTTAGATGTCTCAACTGCCCAACTGCCTCAACTGTTGTGCCCCGCTTTGATTTGTTCTTCATGCCACCTTCGATGTCCAGTTCAGCGTAGTTCAGCGTCGTGACTCGCTGTACGACTAAAATTCCTTAGCCATCAGTTTACGCACCAAAATCCAAATCAAGTTGTTTTAGGACAAAACAATACGAAAGGTAAAAAGCCGATTCTTAACCCATTGAAAGAATTATTTCTGCCACTGTTGTAGCTCAATTCACGTGTTGCAAACGTCCGACATCTTTGATATTAAATGGAGCCCGCATTTTTAAGCAGCGGTTGCCACCACATGGAAACATTGTATCGGGAGTCTGGAACCAGGAGCCAGGAGCCACAGTTCAGTGAACAAAACGACTTTCCGACATTCTCTGAGATTATTTTATTGTTATTGTATGCTGATAAATAATTTAGAATTCCAAATCTATTGGCAACTTTATTCAGACCATGATTATAAATGATCCCATGTCTTCTCAAACTCGGAGATAGAAGTCGTTTTGTCTTCGTGTTTTGGAAAGAACTATTTTTTCTATTTTAGTTGCACGTGAAATAGCAGCGAAGTGAAGCCGGATGTTGGTGCAGACCAGTTCAAAGAGACAAATAAAGCGTGAGACACGTCCAGATTGGCTTGCGACAAGAATTCCATTTTATTTTCATACTGGAGTCTTTTCTCCCCGGGGGAGTGTCCAAATTGCGTACAAATGCCCTACCCTGCTGGCACCAGATTTGACTGTCATAAACAGTGAATTTTTTTCATCTCGCACGGTCTTTTGGGGGTCTTATAAAACCTAACTGTGACACTAATGTTCCCAAGTAGAATTCAAAATACACCACACTTTCACATTGAGTTAGATATTTTTCTCAAACAACCGCTTCCATATGTTTAACACCCTTCCCACATTCCCTCCGAGAGATACTTCAACTGTAACACTTCGATTTCAAATTTCTCACCCTACCCAGGTAAGGTCAATTTTCTCGTCCTAGACATCGATCTCGGAAGGGCCTTTTTGCGTACTCTTGGGCACCAAAACCAGTTTAGTGCCCAGCCGTGTGCCGTGCTGAGGTAGGCAGACACAACAATTAAGTTACAGACATTTGATGTTCCGGTCCGTGCGTGGTCGGAAGACACCCGGTAAATAATGCCCATGGGGTTGCCCAAGGAAAATTTGGGTTTTAAGAGAGTCGAACTGCAGGAGGTCTTTAACGAGGAAAAGTGCGGACACATCTACTTTTTGGAGAGAATGTACTGCATGCAATTTTTAAGTTACAATATACTATAGATAAATCTAATTTGTTTCTAACGTTCCTCTCATACTCCGAGTAGCTTAGGACATACAGGGAACGCAGAGATCAGACCATTGCATCATGGAAAATTCTCAATCAGACTGTCATCGTAAAAACTAAAAAAGTGGTCGCGGTCGTTTACTGGATGTGGATGTGTTCGTTTACAGGAGATTCCAACTACAAGCGCTTTGACTGGATAATATTTGGTGTGTTGAATAAGTGATCGCTTATTGGGAAGTGGTCACTTAAGTTGGGTGGTCGCACGTAGGTTCGACTGTGCCTCGTTAAGCGAAAATTTGTTTAAATGTAAGAGAAATCCTAAAATTGTAATACAGTGGAAGCTCTCGTACGAGGACGCCCTCGGGACGAGAAAAAGGTGTCCTTAACTGGATCTGGCCGCTTACAAGAATGAATCTCATATGCAGCATAGTTACGCAAGTGGAATTCAGCCACTTTAAAAGTGGTGTAAAGGTTAGATAGCCGCTTACGGAAGCTCCTCCCAACTACAAATTAACACTGGTAATAGTAAAAAACTGTTTTTCAGTGTATGGTTACGCTGATGTTCCTGCCTTGTTGTAATTTAGGTAAAAGCATACAATTTAGTTTGTATTTTCAAGTGTAACCGGACGAGTATGTGAAAAAACGGTAACTCTGAAACGGATATATAAGAATGATTCATAACAGTGACAAATAGCCATATGATTGTGGACATGATATGGAAAAAAAAACAACAACATTCAGAGGCGGATAAGATTTCTTTCGAGTGTCTGCTTAGGAGAGCTTTAAATCAAAGCTAACATCTAATTCGCCGGTAAACCCTTTAAGTGTCCGCGGCCGCCTACGGGAATGTAAAAATCCAGAGTTTGTGTGGGAGTTGAAACGGGATTTTGTGATGGCGGTCGTAAGTAGAGCTATTCGCTATATACGAGAGTGTCCGTTAAGAGAACTTAATCTAGTGTATGAATCCGCAAATGACAGCTTAAATGAGAAGTGAATATAGTGTATTAGTCTGTGTTCAAGAAACTGTTCTCTTACACCTTCCTTATAGCCAAAGAAGTCTAGCCGACTTTTTTTGCAATGTATTAGTGCCCCCTTTTGGGTCTTTTGTATTCCTCAGAAGTTTTTCCTCAACACGTTTATAAACGGTTATTATTATATTTTTGTAGTCAATAATATACCCAGATACAGATACCAACCTGTATAGTTGTAAGACTACGAGGATTAAAATACAACTAAGTAAGTAATTATACCCAGTGGCAAGTCATTAATTGTCTAAAAATTGCACGGCACGGTCTGACTACAAAAAGGGCTATTATGGACCATTATTATCATGGTAATTAATGTCAACATCGAATAAACTCAAAATTTCAAGTAACACGACTTTCACAACCTATTTTCAACACACCAGTTATAACAGGATATTGGCGCGTACAACAATAGATAGCGTATTCCGCATTCCGGAGTCCGGTAGTCCGGCGTCACAGATTCCATCTTTTTGGCAGAGTCTAAAGTCAAAGATGGAGGGTGTTCGAGCAGGTGGTTGTTTTCTGTAGATATAGACGGATTGTCAGTGATCCTTCTTGTCCTTTGAGAATGATTTTGTTCTTTCTGACTACAACTTATTTCAAAGACTTCGAATGTTCGGTGAAAAGCCGACACTTTTAATTCTGCAATGTTTCAAGATGTTTCGATTTCATTACCTCGTCACGAAGTAACGCCACAAAGGACCAGACGAAACTGGAGCAGCAAATCTGGACTAAAGCACCTGAGAGACGTGTATGTAACATTTATTCACTATCTTTTATCCTTGTTGGGTCTTGTTTCACCTACAAGTTGGACCGATCGAAGTTTTGAACTAACTCTTTTGCTCCTTGTGTTTACTCAAGCGTTCCATAAAATATCCATCCAAACGTCCATAAATAACACAGAAAACATGCCTCAGGTGACACGTTCTAACAATTCCGCTATTAGTATCGATAATGACGCATCTGATTTGTGACTTCTCGTCAACTTTGTGCTATTTTTGTTTAAAAAAACGAATGTTACGTTTCTTCCAATTTTGGTCAAATGACAAATAAGCGTCAAGTCAGATGTACATAATACGTCATTATTGATAAAGTATGAGATTGCCCAAATATTTTATGATTGATTTGATAACCTTAAAGATGTCTTTCAAAGAATATGTGAGAATTAAGTACATAGGTTGTTGCTCATGGGAGATGTTAGCCACTAAAATACCTTAAATTTAGGGTTTGGTCAAAACAGTGAGAAGATGTCCTTACTTTAGGCTAAATAATAGGAAGAGATCGAATTAGAGAGTAAAAATAAATTACTGAGCATTAAGTTTGATAAACATAGAAGATGATAAAGTTGATTAGATTTGAAGTTGTCTTTTCTTCTTGTTGAACAGCCAAACCAAAGTCAGCTAATTAATTATGCAAAAATGAGTAGATTTTGTCGTTTTTTTGGGGGGGTCCCTGTAAATCCCAGGGAATTCAATATTGCGACCTTATTTTTTGTCGAGGTTAATATCTCAACACACCCATCAGTTGTGCAAAGTTTGAGCGAAATCCGTGATTTGAGCATTATCACCTCCTGCCTGGTTCTCTCATGGACACACTCTTAAGAAAACTAACTCCCCGTCGCACACGAGAAAAAACGTCTGGTACCCAGGGTATAAGAAAATTTACTAAGCTCATCACAAATAAAGTGTTATGTTTCCCGTTGTTTTTCCTTTTCCTTCCCCCGGTGCACCAAGTTAGAGCTTAAAGTGCTCAATTTGTTTTTAGGAAAAACAAAAGACTTCTGAAATATTTAGCCGTGTTGACCATTCCCAAAACTCACTGTTGAGACCTGATTCCCATTCGGTGAAACGACCGAATTTGATTGTTCGACGACGTTCTTTTTGTCGTCACGCAACGCTTCTGAACGAAACACAAAACACAGAGAACGGTTGTGCAAGAGACTACAGGCGACGTAACGTAAGACTCTTTGATGAACGTTTTGCCCCATTTAATGGAATTTAAGACAGTCTTGGAATCTGGATTCCATGCTGTGGATTCCGGATTCCAGATTCCGCATCCCAGGTACATGGATTCAAGATTCTTGGTCAGTAAAATTCTAATCGTTACTGAGTGGGATTCCGGATTCCTTGAGCTGTATTCCGGATTCCAAATTCCAGGATTCTGGATTCCAGAAGCAAAGATGTTAAGGATTCCCTTACATGGGATGAAACGTTTGACTTTGAATAACGCTTTAGTTCTTGGCCAAAAGAAAAGTTTCCACGATTGGTTTCAAGCTTAGGGTGTTGTTGTGCAATTCAAGTATGGCGCTTATCATTATTCTTCCGTTCAGTGCTGCACTATCGAGGGTGGCGCTAAATTCTGTGCTCCACGTTTGGCCATTCATTAGAAAAATTGTCGTGCGTTGAATATTGTAAAAGAGAATGACCCTTATTTTCACTCTTACTTTTATGTAGTGATGCTGCAGTCTTCACGACCCGTGGTAGACACACAATAGGACGCAAGTATAAGAAGTTTCTGTTTCGTGAGTACGAGGATGCTAACTTCCAAAAGGAAAAGCCGCACCCACCCTACCTTGGGTTTCTGGGGCCTACACTCAAGGGAGAGGTGGGAGACACGATTGTGGTTCACTTCAAGAACAAGGCCGGTGGTAACTTTTCAGTACACCCACACGGTGTGTTTTACTCGAAGGACTCGGAAGGCGCCCTGTACGTGGATGAGACAAAGGGAGCTTCGAAAAAAGACGACCACGTGCCACTGAATGGTGAACACACGTACACTTGGAGGATAACTAAGGACCACGCCCCAACAGACAGTGACGATGACTGTCTTACTTGGATTTACCATTCACACGTGTTGCCGCACAAGGACATTAACACTGGGTTGATTGGTGAGATTATGCTTGAGAATGTTTCTGTGTTTTCGATGTCAACGTGTTATAAAAAGTTAATTGATTCAAATATGATTATGGCCCTCGGAAACTTTTTACGCACCATTGTCAGTATTTTCTGTGCAGCCAACTTTTTGAAAACCGCCGGTGTGGTTTGTAATTGGCCACTAGACTAATGAACAATCAATAACTTTATTGACTTTATCTTCGACATGAAGATTTCAGTACCAAAACAATCAATATAATAACAAATGAAACAAAGTAAAATAAAAGTGAAGTAAGAGAGAAAGGAACAACAACAACATTTTGAATATTAACATAGAAACTTACGTGGCTATGTGTGGCTTCTACTCTACTCGTATTTTAAATTAGAGTTCGGATTTGTAACAATTTAGACTATTTTCAATATAAGAGGCACTAAGATTCATAATTATAGTAATATGACCCCAGTTAAGTGCGTTCGAGCTATTAGAGTCAAACCAGGTCAAGGGAACTACCATAGATTTTATTATTCAATCGATTCAGTTAGTCGAAGCTTGAGTCCATTAGAGGTGAATACAGTTTGAGAAATATTCCCTATTTTCGCTGAAATATTATAACCGTCCAGTCACGTGATTCACTTACAAAAAAGCAAGCAAGCAAGCAAGTAAGGATGAGAAACTGCTTGCCAAGTTCCACAAATATTCGAAAAGATGTTTCTTGTTGAAATGAATATCCATCTGACCAGTGACTGAGTCAAATCAGTCCTCAGGTTCCCCGGCACTATCCATTGAATTAACAGTACTTTTCTGTTTTACCAAACTGAAAATAAAAGAACCGCGAAACGTTACAGAGATGAAGCCGTAATTATAGTTACTTCTTTTTTGCCCTTATTTTATGTCCATAACAAGGGATGCAAGGGATGGCGCAGTGGTGAGAACGCTCGCCTCCCACTAATGTGGCCCGGGTTCAAATCCCGGCGTCGACGCCATATGTGGGTTGAGTTTGTTGTTAATTCTTTTTCTCCGGGTACCCCGGTTTTCCCCTCTCCTCAAAAACCAACCTTTCTTTTCCATTCGACCAGGAATCAGATATACGAAGAACCACTTTGTGGATGTGCTACCTCCAACTCATTATTTATTTATTTATTTATTTATTTATGTCCACAATGTAAGGTATCATGCTGACGTGCAAAAGTGGAGCTTTAGAAGGAGGAAAAACGAGAGGTGTTGACAAAGATTTTTTAGCGTTGTTTTCTGTGCTGGATGAGAATGACAGTTGGCTGCTGGACAAGAACATTAACTACTACTGCAGTGATCCACAAGGAGTAAATAAAGAAGATGAGGATTTTATGGAGAGTAATAAGATGCACGCTATAAACGGTTATTTCTATGGAAACCTACCGGGCCTGGAAATGTGCTTAGGAGATACTGTTAACTGGCATTTGGCTGGGATTGGTAATGAAGTCGACTTGCATACAGGTAAGATTCGAGTGACTTTTCGCCCCATTAAACGGAATTCAATACAGTCTTGTATTCTGGATTCTACGCCGTGGATTCCAGATTTTTTGTCAAGGGAACTTGGATTCTGGATTCAATCGTTAGTGGGATTCCGGTTACTTTGAGCTGTACTCCAGATTCCAGATTTCACAGGCAAAAATCTACCGGATTCCGGAATCTGGTCAGATTTCCTCCAAAGCCGCAATGTTGTAAGAACTTACACTCAGGCAAGACCATATTTGTTATTTATAAGAACACAGGCAGCAATCAATGTAATGAGCGTAAAAGGGAAAATGTTCCCTGAAAACGTAGAGAAGTGGTCTGGGTCCTTTTAGCTAAGTCGCTAAAGAGAAAAAGATCTATAGGTAATCAGTAGGCACGCCACGACTAGCGTTTTGGCTAACTGCGGGCCAAGAAACTGTAACTAAGTAAAATTACGGTGATACTTGTTTTATTGTTTTTTTTTTGGTAACTTGAACGTTTGAAACATGTTCAAGTGATCAGCGCGTCGTACCCGCAATCTGCTGTTACCGTCTTTCAGTTCGGTGTAGTTATGAGTTAAACTCCTTAGCCTACTTTTGATAGCCAACTGCTTTATTTCCTGCTAGTTTGAGGTTTTGATCATCTTATGTTTGTTTATTAGTGTAGGATTGTTTGAGTGAATGATATGCCTGTGAACTTCCGCCGTAGCCCGCCAGCCCGGTGCATCCATCTCTCTAATAAGAGCGGGCTCACAACGTACTTGATGTTTAGGTTGTGCAGCTGGCGTTTTTTTTAAACGCTGTGAGTGAAACACGCTAAAATGGTGTGGTTTCTACTTTCCTTCTCCCTATGCCTTTGTCTCTTTTTTTCCTTTATCCTCTTTCATTTCTCTCGCTTTTTTCTTGCGAATCCTTTACCGAACTCCAAAGAAACCGCCAGCTGCGCTCAACAGCTGCACAGGCTATCTTCTAGCCAAGAACAGGCTCTAAGGCAATTTTCAGGGATTTTCAAAATTGAAATTTTACATTTTCTTTCTATCAATAGCTTATTTCCATGGACAAACTTTTACAGTCGACAACCATCGCAAAGACGTTGCTTCTCTTCTACCTGCAACTTTCGTGACGGCTTCTATGAAGGCCTTAAACCCAGGGACGTGGATGTTAAACTGCCTTGTTAACGATCATTATAACGCCGGTATGTACGCGCTGTTTAATGTAACGAAGTGCGATGGAAAAAAACATCCAGTCCCAAGTGTAAGTGGCGGGAAAAAGCGGACTTACTACATCGCGGCAAACGAGATACCGTGGAACTATGGGCCAACTGGTATGAATAATATGAATGGAAAGAGCTTGACACTGGCAGATAGGTACGAACTTCATGATCAGATTTCAAATAAAGCTCCAGTTCTAAGGCTGCGGCACTCATGTTTTATAGTCGGACTTAAGATTAACCTGACTGATTCAAACGGCGTCGAACCAAAACAGAAAAAGATTTTAATGACGATGATGATAGTAAAGTAATAAATCAAAGTAAAAATGATAATGATAATGATAGTAATAATTTAAATTCCCTTCATTTATTCATTAGTTTCGGCACATGAAAAGTTCCGTCGTGCGAATCAGCAGTCGCCCCAGTGTTGGATAATGCGACAGTGTCTGCCCAACTTAACGTTGCGTGCCGTACCAAACTTAACTACTGAACCAAACTGATTCAAACGCCGGTTTTCGCCTTTTTCTGTATCTAATTCATCTGTAAATGAAGGTGCAGCTGCTGTTTTCTGGAATCAGACCTGAGGGTTTGGCCATGCTGTCTCAACTTGTCTGTTCACTTGTGTGTGTGTTTTTTCTATTTGCTCAGCGACTCAGCCGTTTTCTTCGCCCAAGGTGATAAGAGGATTGGAGGAACTTATCTAAAAGCGATTTACGAAGAGTACACAAGCAGCACCTTTACAAGTAAAAAGAACAAATCAGATCATCTTGGTTTCCTGGGGCCAGTCATTCGAGCGGAAGTCGGTGATATCATCGAAGTAGTCTTCAAAAATAACGTAAGAAAATAGTGATTTAGCCGTTTGATTCTGGATCCAAGAAAAGGGAAATAATTTCTTCAAAGTATGTTCCCTGGTTAGTAACGGGCGATGAAGTTAACCTCTGGTACGGAACTTTTTGCGATTGCCGCGGTCTGGCAACTGGTCACTAACTAAAGAGTACGGCCCAGGGCTCTTCAGAGTACTGATTGCTGTAACGGAGAAAATGTGGTATTTTGAGTAGAAATCCGCTCATGAAAGGTGTCACTCGTTGTTAGGTCTCGAGTAAAATTACTATTCTGCCTTGGAACAAAAAGTTTATTAATTACAATTTAAGTCCTGCACTTATTACGTTACGGTCTCCATGTCATTGTAACTGTTTGGAAAAACACTTTATTGTTTTATTAATATATCAAACGAGAGGCACATTGTTCATCATTTGATCAAACGCTGAGATCAGAATTGTAAATTCGACGCAAAGCGGTGTATTTTTGACTAATCGTCCCATGTGGTAAAGGAACCCAAGACAGTCTTGGATTCTAGATTCCAGGTACTGGATTTCAGTCTTTGTCAGGGAAACTTGGATTCTGGATTTCATTCCTTTGTGGGATTCCGGATTCCTTAAGCTGTCTTCCGGATTCCAAAGTCGAGGATTTCGGATTTTACGAGGCAGGCCTTAATTTTCCCAGATCCCGGATTCCAAAAACAAAAGTTTCCCGGATTCTGGAATCCGGATTGCCTTACATTTAGCAAGACTAACTTGGAGGTGTTTGATATTATTTGGAGGCGCCCACGAGTCCTGATATTATGATGAAATAACGCCTCGAATTTTTGATATTGGTGATTTTACGATCGGACGACGCGACGGCGGCGAAAACATCGCTTCAAAAATGAACTTGCGTCCTTTCGGTCTTTAACGCGATTATTCCAACTCACCTACTTTGTCAAATGTGCGCGAACCCTCCCGGAGTTGAATCTCGATGAACTACATTCAAGTTTAAAGAGAGAATAAAATTTCGTCCTCGCTCGTTAACTTTCTCCCTAAAAAGTCTAATCAGGCAATTTCACGTCGTAGCCGTGAAAAAACGGCAAAGAAATGTACAAAACAGTGAGATGCACGTGCAAAGCTGTGGTTTTGTCTACCAAATCTATTGTTATTTTTGACGTTCTCGTTGCTGTCGCGTCATCGGATCGCAAAGTGCCTATTAGGGACTTTAAGATCCAACAACGCGGACGGCAACGAGAACGTCAAAAAACAATAGGTTTTATACGCAAAACAACAACTTTGCACGTGCATCGCATTTATTTGTACATTTCTTTTCCCGTTTTTGCACGACTACGACGTGAAAATGCCTAATTTCGCGTTTTATGGAGAACGTAAACAAGCAACGACGAAATTTAATTTCTCTTTCTGAACTTGGACATGGTCCCTTGGAATTTAACTACAAGAGGGTTCGCCTACATTTGACAAAGTAAGTGGGTAGGCATAATTGCGATGAAGACTGAAAGGACACAAATTCACTTTTTAAGCGACGTTCTCGTTGCCGTCGCGTCGTTGGACCTTAAAGTCCCTATTACCTATCAAACGAAATGTTTTAGAGGGAGAAATAAAGGATACAAACGAGAGGAGTTTTTGAAATGATTGCCAAACAATCATTAAACATTTATTTAATTCCTTTGTATTTTCTTTATAGGTTATTAATGAGTTTGAGATAAATTACTTAAGATTCGGAGTTTGTTCATTTTTCATGCAGGCAAGTCACAACTACAGTATTCAACCACATGGCGTCTTCTTCAACAAGTCTAATGAGGGAGCCTTATACCAAGATCATACATCCGGGGCTGAAAAAGCCGATGATATTGTGCAACCAGGCCATATTTACACTTACCGGTGGACTGTGCCCGAACATGTGGGGCCAACAAATGCTGACGCACAATGTGTCACGTGGTTGTACTATTCAAGCGTAGATCCAGTTAAGGATACTTATTCTGGTGAGTCTCGAGTATTAAGCTATTCCCTCCGAGAGAATAAACAGTCAGTTGCAGAGAGTAACTCGTATACGAAGCGCTATTTTCCCGCGCTTGCTTGTGGCTGCATGTTTTCCCGCCGTTTGGGAGTAGTAGGGAGCTTTAGGATCTACGACGCCCAGTAGCTAGTTATTCAGTTGAAGTACTTTCCCGTGTTACCCTCGTTAAATAAAGTTGACTATTATTATTATTATTATTATTATTATTATTATTATTATTATTATTATTAAAACAGCGAAATCGTCACAAAAAGTAATGCTTCAAACTTATTCGCTTTTATTTGATCTCGTTCAATTTGTTAAATAATGGGGGAAGTTAATTTCTGGAGTTGAATCCTAAAAGACTGTATCTAAATTCATTAAATCGTTTTCTCGTGTTCATGTTCTTCATAAAACGTGAAATTAGGTACTTTAACGTCGTAATCGTGCAACAACGGCAGAGTAAGCCACGAAAAGGCCTGATGTACTTGCAGAGTTGTTGTTTTGCTTATCTAAACCTACTGCTTTTTTGCCGTTGGCTCGTTGCCGTGTCTCCTGAGTCTTTGCTAAAGACCCCCCTTAGGCCTAGTAAGCGCAGTTGCCGTCGGCTCCCAGGTTTTCCGATGTGTGTCCAGTTACTTTCAATTTTGTTATTCGTTTAGACTTTCGCATAGCCATTCAAACACATATCTAACATAGTTTAGGTTTTTTCTTATGTAGGTCTGTTTGGTCCATTGCTAACGTGCAAAAAGGGATCGCTGAACGATGACAACACACAGAAAAACATCGACAAAGAATTTGTTCTACTTTTCACCGTCACAGACGAAAGTGGCTCATGGTATCATGACGAAAACAAGAAACGAGCGCAAAACTGGCAACAGATAAATGATGGTATGCTAGAAACAATCTAAAAAATCCTAATTTATTCTATATCATGTTTATTGACCTGCTCCCCTCCTTTTTCTAAGGTTATGTTCAATCATTACCGGATAGCTTTTGCGCTGGCGTGAAAGCCGTACCAGATAGGGCTTCTATTCACATATAAGAACGGTAATTTTCGGTGCGATTTTTGTAACTGAGGGAAGCTGCGCTTCGCTAATCTCGAAAGTGGAGCGTCACATATCGTATAGGTTTTGTGCCACACTTTGCTGCAGTGTGAACGCCGCCGCGTATTCGGACCGTAGAGGAAGTGAATAATAGGAACGAGGACTGGCATGAAATCCACAGAGACGGAAGTAAATATTCAGGAGTGAGGACTGGATTTTACTTGACCCTCTCGGCCAACCGCTCAGGTATGATGTTCGATGTGTCTGAAAGATTTGTTCCAGTTTTGTGCGGTTCACACTGTTCACACTATACCTGATACATTTTCGTGTCGGCACGAAAAGATATCTGGTAATAGTGTGAACAGAGCCTAAGAGTAAAAGCCCTGGAAACGATGTTGGGCTGTGAGGGCGCCGATTCATGTTTGCTTCCAAACGAGGGCGAGACCTAGACCAGGTGCAGCTTGAGTATACGTTGAAAATTTGGTGAGGCCAAATTACCTGTTTTAATAAGCCCCTAATCGAGTGTTAATTGATCACCAGTTTTTACTTCACAGTATTAAAGGTAGAATTCTCTTCACTTGCTCTTCGAATGAAGAACTTTTCTGCCGACTCAAAGTAGAACAAACCTTAGTGCTCTCATTCACTAAGTGCCCTCCTTAGCTCTCGTCTTTTTTCTGTCTCCATTGAATTCACGAAACAAGAAAGAAACTGGGTCGAGTTAACTTTTGCAAAGATTTTTCTGGGTCTGTTGCGAGGGACAGGGGAATCAATAGCTCAAAAGCTGACCGCTGACCGTTGTGTCCTCATCAGCGGTCCCAGAAACAATTGGAAAAATAAGATGCTTCTTACATAAGACGCGAACTGTACCATTTATACGAGCATGTCTTATCTAAGAGGAGAACACCTCTTATACATGGTTCACGTCTTATTTCTGTTCTTGACTCGTTTTCATGTGAATGTTGCCCGTAGCAACGGCAATCCAACGTGGCACGCCAAAAATTAACGCATGCGTACTATGCGTTCGCGTCTTATGTAAGACGCGAAGGTCATTTATACGAAGTTTTTCTCGTCTTAGATAAGACGCGTCTTATTTTAGACGAAATGTGCCGTTTATACGGAAAGTTCGCGTCCTATGTAAGACGCGTCTTAATTTTCCTCGTATAAATGGTCCTATTTTGGCTCAATTGTCTTCTCGTTTCTAAAGTGGCGAATTGATTTGTGAACATTTCAGAAGATGAAGATTATCTCGAAAGTAATAAAATGCATGGCGTCAACGGATACTTGTATGCCAACCTACCCGGATTACAGATGTGTCTAGGCGAGAAGATATCCTGGCATGTGATTGGCCTTGGAAATGAAGTGGACATGCACACAGCCTACTTTTACGGAAACACCTTCCTGCATGATGGGAGTGTAAAAGACACACTCAGCTTACTGCCAGGTCAGTGTGTAGCCGGAGAGCTCCAGCTCCTAGCAACGACAAGAGCCACTTAAGTGTGAAATTTAAGGGAATGCTTTTGGAGTTGAATTCACGGGAAATTCGCACCCAAGGTTAGAGCAAGAAAACTTTGTCGCTGTGTGTATGTTGTGGCTCAATTTTATCCTTGGCTTAAATTTTATTTTCCTTGGTTTTGGTGTATGGTGATGTATCACAATGAGTTTAAGCTAGTTTAAAACAAAGGGTAATAAAATTTAAACCAGGATAATATAGAACCACGACATATACGTCCGTAGCAGAGCGTGCAAAAGGGGGAAATGGAAAATCGGTTACTTTTCGCGTTTTCGAGCGAGGTGGATGTAGCTAATTACATCGCATCTTCTAGTTCAGTGATACAGAGCGTACCATGATCTCAATCGATAGAGTTTTCCTGTATCCACAATACTTTGTATTTGCAGTTTATAGAACACAGAGCCAGTGTCATGAAAGGATAGGGTCTCGTAAATCTAATCAGGAAGTAATTTTCTTTGGACGAGGAACCTAAACTTGGTAGAGAGACATCAGACGAGTACAAATCTCTTTTTAATTATCTTCAATTTTGAGTAAGAACATTCATGGTTTGGTGTCAAAGCATAATGTAGAGTACAGAGAAAGAAATCCTAATAGCTACAAAAACTTTCACTCTATTTTAGGCGTATTTGCCACTCTAACAATGACGCCTGATAACGCGGGAGAATGGGCGCTAGTCTGTCGGACCAATGATCACTACGCTGCGGGCATGCAGGCTAAGTACACCGTCAGAAGCGATTGTGGGAAAGCTCCTACCAAAAAGCCCTCTGGGAAAGTTCGTCGTTACTATATTGCTGTAGTTGAGGTGGAATGGGACTACGCGCCCTCTGGTCAGGATGTGCTGGAAGGAGTGCCGCTGGAAGAGAGCGAGTCAGTATAACATGCAAAGCTTATTTTGGGTAGTTTTAAATTGCGAGTCGAGTGTAATTGGCTAAAAATCCCGCGCTATTGTTTTTCGACCAATCAGAAGTACGACAGGACCTGTGCGCGTTTTTTGTGCGTGATGCCAGCTAAGGTCTGGCTCACTAAGTTTCTCGCATTCTAATGACCCTCTTCCATTTACAATTTCCCTATAACTAGTTATAGCACTGCGAGGGTATCCAAACATGTACATGCGGCGGCATACTGCCGCTAGGCGAAGTTTCGTTAGCCTGCAAACGCAGTCGTGTCAGTCCGCGTTCGTTGCGCTAAAGATTTCGTTGCATCATAACTCGACTGTGGGTACTTTTCTCTTTCAGTGAGGCAAAAACATTCACAGCAGGAGGAAACGAGCGAATAGGTCGAAAATATAAAAAAGTTGTGTATCGTGAGTTCACAGATGCACAGTTTAAAGAGCAGAAAGAACGGACCGCAGCTGATAAGCACCTGGGTGTACTGGGTCCAATTTTACGCGCTGAAGTTGGAGATACGATGGAGGTAGTGTTCAAGAATATGGCGTCAAGTGGAATGAAATTCTCCATGCACCCGCATGGCTTATATTACAGGTATAAAGCAATGTGCTTTTGTCTTATTTCTTGGATGAGGTTTTTGTGATATGCGGAATAATCAAGGTCGAGGTAAGTGTTACCAGCCGAGCCGAAGGCCGAGGCTGATAACACTTACCGAGACCTTGATTATTTAGGATATCACAAAAACCACGCGAATCTAATAATTGTTTTATTATTATTACTACATTGTTTTGAAGAAAATAACGACAAACACACCGTCGCGAGGAACCTGAATTGATATTGTTATTGGAAATCATGCATTGAGCGCACAACCCACAGATTAGTCAATTATCTGCTAGCAGATAACTAACTAATCTGCAGGTTGCGCTGATTTCCAAAGTTAGCTTTAGGCTCTTAGTCAATGAGAAAACAGATAGTGAGTACAATGTATAGTAAACTGAATAATTGTTATTGAATCCAGGACAGTCCTGGTCTTGAAGACACACTCGCTTTTCAGCTTCGCCCCATGTAAGGGAATGCGGAATCCGGAAAATGTTTGCTTGTGAAATCTGTAGTCTTGGGCTTTGGAGTCCGGAATACAGCTCAAGGAATCCGGAATAACACTAACAATTAGGAATCCAGTACCTGGAATCCGGAATCCACGGTGTGGAATCCAGAATCCAAGATGTTGTTTTCTAATTGCTTTAGTGAAACAGACAAGAATATCTAATTAAATACATTCGCATAATTTGTTTCTTAGATAGTCTTGATACTGGCGTTACGATGACGCCAAAATTACGTCGACTTTTTACGCTCTTATTCTCTCATTGCGATGTTTGTTTTCTGTTATCTTTCGTTTCTTTTATTTCCAGCAAAGGCTTTGAGGGCTCAGATTATAAGGATGGCACAACTGGCATCAATAAAGCTGATAACAGCGTAGATTCTGGTAAAATGTTTAAGTATTCTTGGGAGGTCCCAGAACGCGCTGGGCCCGGAACAGATGGCCCCGCCTGCTCCACATGGGCCTATTACTCAGATGTTAACCCAATAAAAGACACAAATAGTGGTCTTGTGGGTCCACTTATAGTCTGCAAAAAGGTGAGGAACAATTGATTGGCCGATGTCTTACTCTGATTTAGTTAATTAAACAGAAATTTTCCATTATTGTGTTAGATTAATCAGGGACATTTTTGATGGGAACACTTTTGTTTCACGTCTAAAGTAAGATGCATTTCTAAATACCCGATCAAAAGGCGTGACCGGCCCGTGGTAGCTCGCTTAATGCATGCCCTGATTTTCAAACAGTCCAGGATGCTCTAATGATGCTAGTTTAATAAAGGGTTGTAATGTAATTGGAGTGAGTAACAGACAAATAAATCCACCCGAAGGATTTCGCTTATTTTATAGCCTTCTACATCTACATTCTAGATGTAGAAGGTTATAAAATAAGCGAAATGCGGAAGGTGCAACATGTAAAGAAGATTATTATAAGCTTCTGTTTGCTGAAATAATTTTTTCGTATGTCATTTTAATTTATTATTGCATTACAGCAAGCTCAGTAAACCCTTGACTTTTGCGAAATAGAAACCTTAAATTGAATTGACTGATCTGTAAAAGACCATAAAGGAGGCGTGTTATGGATGTTAAACGGTTGGGATGTTCCTTAGTCCAGTTCTGGCCCCCCTCTCTCTATCACACAACGCCGACGTTGCGTGACAGAGAGAAAATAGACTAGATGTTCCTCTCCGGGCTATTACTATTTGTCCTTGGGCGTTGAGCTCCACTCCTCCTTTGCGCTTTCGTTCTGCTATTAGGAAGTTACATGAAAACAAATGAGGGTAAAGGGATTTACCCTCTTGATTTTATGTATGAGCAAGCAGGCTTGCTGACTTATTGTTGTGAGCTCTCTCACGCTAATCTTTGGGTTTCCTGTGGTTCCTTGGGTGTTCTGTCCCTATTTAGGCTTTACAATCTAGATTTGTGTTTGCCAGGATGATTTTTAGCAAGTATGTCCAGCCTTATCATCATATAAAATCTTTGTTCAAAATTGTAACACCCTTGGTGCGTCATTCTAATTGCGCTAAGTTTGACACATTGTGGCGCGCAAGAAGTTGCAAATTATGTTCGTTTAACTGTAAACTGCTGGCCAATAATGACCCAAATCATGAAAAACTCGTAGCTGTAGGACCCTGCCGGGTTCCTTTAGTCCGTTATTCCACAACTGTTAACTGCTGTATAAGATGCCAAGGGTCTGTAGTTTAAGCAGTATGTAAATGACAGTTCATCTTTCTCAGATGATGTTTTGCTGCCCAGCATCTGCTCAGAGCATTATACTTACAATTTGTAACTTCTAGTTTTACACTTTATCAGGGTACTCTGAAGGATTCATATACACGAAATGATGTACATCGTGAATATGCGCTTATGTTTACTGTTCTGGATGAGAATGAGAGCTGGTACCTTGACAAAAACATCGACACTTACTGTAAAAAACCAGGAAATAAAGAGACTCTTAAGGAAAACGAAGACTTCAAGGAAAGCAACAAAATGCACGGCATCAACGGGTTTGTGTTTGGCAACTTGAAAGGACTGGAAATGTATCAGAAGGAAAAAGTAGACTGGTACCTAGTTGGTATTGGAAACGAGGTTGATATGCACACGGTTCACTTTCATGGGCAGACTTTCCTTCATGTAAGTATCATTGTAGAATTAATTTAAAATCTATAACTGATCATAATAGAAATTAAGACCAGGGGTCAATTTAATAACACTTTTACACGTGTAGTTTACAAGTGTAGCCATTGTTTTAGAGTTTGAAAACAATAGCTGTACTTATAAGTTACACCCGTAAAAGTTTTAAATTGACTCCTGTTTCAGTGCTACTGTTGTCCTATGTTGTCCTAAGCTGGCTCAACTTCAGCGCGATTCTAGTGCGTCCATGGCACGACTTGTTTTCGGACGTTGAATTTAACTCAGTAAAATAGCTGTTGCGGAAATAAAAAGCGGATTAGTGAAAATTGTATTCTAATGTATTTATAATTTATGAAATGAGTTCGGCACGGCAGTAGCATGACGTTTAAAACAGGCCTAACCTTGCTTTGATTTACAAGGCTAAAAAAAAATCCAGTTGACATGGAAATCATTCAAATCAGCATGTAGATTTTGTTTTCATCAGTTTCATGCATGTCAGTTCTCATTGAGGCCCAGACCTGCATTTCGATATTCCATAGGCTGAAATGTCGTCTTTGCGACCCATGAATTAACCAAGAGTGCAGACTTCTGACTGGGAAGGGAGGAGGAGGATAGGGAGAGAAGAGAAGAAGAAGAGTTAACGCTTCCCACTTCTTCGTCTTATGTTAACTTGCCATTTGCCTCCTTCTCAGAATCGAGCATACGTTTAACAGTTGTTTTTCTTCGGCAGAAACGTGTTGCATATCATCGCGAGGACGTGTATGATCTTTTCCCGGGAATCTTTGCAACCGTGGAGATGATTCCTGACAGCGTTGGAGTCTGGATGCTGCACTGTCACGTGAATGATCACATGGTTGGCGGAATGGAGACAACTTATACTGTCAAGGGTAAGTTAAGTTTGTCTCGGTGAACGAACTGTAGCGTACATGTGTCAGGCCAGAACAATTCAGTCCTTTCTAAAACGACGTTAGCCACGTGTAAATGATACCTGGGTGCTCTCTGGTTTCCAGAACGCACGTTTCCGGGAAAATCATCTGAGGAGAAGCGGTCAAGGAAAGGCTTTTCTCGGAAAGCGCAAAAAAAAGTTAAAAACGATTAATCTCCATATTGAGCTCTCATTTTATTACTAGTAATAACCGAAGGTTAGACGGAGTGCGGGCGACAGCGATCGAAGGTCAAAACGCCTTTGCTCCAACCCTGTGCTTTGCCTAAATTTCACGTGACAGATAGTTAAAACACGCATGATCAGATTACGAGTGATGGAAGGTACAAACGCGCGCGGTAAAATAGCGTTCTGTACATTCCTTTCATTCTTAGTGGGAATCCAAACGAACGCTGGCTACATACATGCGACGCATGCGTTGTAATGTCCTGGAGATTAGGATTGCGGGCTCCTCTTGTCTTCTGCAATAATGTACATAGATTTTAGTAACACAACCGTATTAATTAGTAATGATTTGGAGAAACATAAACATGAAAAAACTAACGAAATAAAGTTTCGTCGTTTCGGCGACATCATGACGCCATTATCAAGGAATTAAAATAAATGCGAGTTCAAATGATTTTTGAATACTTTAACGCCGTGTGAACTCTATTTATTTCCATTCCCTAATAATGGCGTCATAATGTCACCGAAATGTCTGAACTTTATTTCGTTAGATTGTACATGATAATAAAACTGTCTTAATTCCATGAATTCATAGATGGTTCACTGAAGCCAACCACCGATTTCATTGGTCCATCCAGTACCGCAGGCGCACGTTTGTCCAGCAGTTATATCATCTGCTTGCTGATAGCTGTTATTGTGACTGTATTTTGAATGCTGTTTTGAAGAGGAAAGTAGACAGTAGATTAGCTTTTAATAGAATTCTTTTATATATAGGTAGCTGACCATATGGCCCTTTTGATCAGACTGTCAACTCACGTGACCGACTGAGCGACCGTATGACTGACTCATCAAAGAATGAATATTTGAAAGACTGAACGACTGACCGACCGCCGTAAAAACCTCCGCCTCCCTTACGCATTGGTTAATAACGTATAATAAACCCAGTCCTGCTGATAATCGGATCTAAATGTAGTCGAAAAAACGGACCGACCTTCCAACTCCGTGAGCACGACCGTGAGAGACTTTACTCATGATATAACCGCCATCTTTGCAAGCGCGTGAAGGCTGTTGGGATGGATGTAAATAATGTCGTGTGGTCATACGCAGAGCCGGGCTGGACAAACAATCTTTCTTTTAAAGATATTAAATTTTCGGGCTAGCGAGCGTGCTGTTTTTGTGGCGTGTAGTTGCTATCTTTGATTTTATAAGCAGTGGAAGACTGGGCCGGAACCCATTTGACTCGTGCAGCACAACTCACGCGAATCATTGTAGTGCTTGTTCGATCACCATAAAACGACTGCATGGCAGGCTCACTCAAGCTAAGAATCAGCCAATACAATCTGCCAATACAAGCAACGCCGTCCGAGTTTGTTTATTCCTCCCATGAATATGGGAAAACTCGACGGTATAAAAGTTTTATGGTTACGGTCACTTCGTTCCATGGTCAGGTCATTCCATTTTATAGTCAGATCGTTCCACAGTTTCAGTATAAAACTCGATGAGATAAAGTGCGCTTGTTTTGGCGTTTTGGCCTTTTGTCTTAAAGAACGCGAGGTATGCACATAAGTAATGCCGTTATTTCTGCTCGTGGCTTTAAGACTCGTCAAATATTCTGGCTATATTGTGGAACGAACTGACTATTAAGTGAAAGATCTGGCTTGGAACGATCTGACCATGGAACGAAAAGACTGGATAACATTTGTTTTCATAATTAGTTATTTTCACTTACGACTGTACGACGAACCGCTTCGTGCTGGACAGCGGATATCCTACAGACAGACCATGTGACCTTTGGATTTTAAGGTGGTCAGTCTAGAGAAAAGCTTTTTTTGTAGAATAGTTATCTAGGAACTAAAAGACGCGTTTTTATGTTGAATGTTTTGGAATCAGAGTGTTCTTAGGATGAAGCTACAGCAACGAAAATAGCTTCCTGAACTCTTTAAAACACGAGTTTTTACTAAGAATTCTGAGTTCCATTATTTAAAGACACAGTACAATTTTATTTTGCACAGCAAAGTAGGAAAAAGGAAAATAAAAATGGCAATTTTAGAGAAACCATGACGTATGTGTTGTGTTTCTGTCGACTGCATGGTCGAAGTCTGGGTCTGAATTTCTCTATTGGGCAATCGCTACGTACTTCATGTGAGTCTGTGTCTTCTTTCTGTGCGCGATGTTTATGAAAAATTTAAAACACTCGTTAAAAACTAACTTAGTAGCGATCTCCTTTTTTCTTGTTTCTTTGCCCTACTTAGTGAAAATGGTTTCAGTGCCGGGCAGCTGTTTTGACATTCCGGTTATAAGTGTTGACGAAACCTTGGCTTTCTCATCAGTTCTTTAGCACATGTTTATCCACTTCTTACCTACTTAGTACCACAAAACCCAATATCACGTTTCTTTTCTCTTTTCAAAGATCTGCTGAAAAATATTATTTTGCCCCTAACATGTGCTTTTCTCTTTAATGGTAATTTTTTCTTCTTAAGAATACACAAAGGTTTAAATTTAAAGTCAGTTTCGTGGATTAAAATTATGTAATCACAAGGAATGACAAGTGCGGCTTTTAACAAAGAGTTCTGAGTTTGTTTTTGGCTGGAGAAAAGGTAACAGACCCAACTTTCGTTATTGCTAGAAATGTTTTGTGTCAGCTTTATTCTCTTTATTTGTTTTGAGCAAGAGTGTTGTTTACGGAAGGGTCATTACATGCCGCTTTTCCACAAAGACTATTTAATCAGTCAGCATTTCAGTTTGTTTTAAGCGAATCTGATGATTGGTCATGAATAATCCGCCACTGTCAAAATCTGCCCAAAGTCTAAGTACGATTCGGCAGTTTAATATTGTATTGTATTTTCCGCTGATATTGTACATTCTAATACAAGCTAATACAAAAATGCAAGCTTGAAATCGGTTTAAGTGGGACACTTATCATGACGTAACGTACCCCCGCAACACACTGGCTGTTTTTCATGAAGACGTTCAACTTTACTAATGTTAGTGAGGGCTTCAATGGAGCTGCCTCTAATTCTACTTCAAGTCTACAACTGCTACTAGTCTTCGCTGTGTATAAAACGATTTTATCTCCTGTTACGGCGATAGGCAATGGTCTTCTAGTTGTCACCGTGCTAATTGATCCTCTGCGATCCTTTCGTAACACATCATCCATGTTCCTGTTAACAATGTCCGCTGCGAATTTCTTAACAGGAACGGTTGTGGCGCCAATTTTTGCATTTTTGGAATACAACACTTTTCTTGGACGGAAAGCTTCGCTCCAAATCGCTAATGTTGGTTCCTCGTTTTCTCTGCTTTCATTCAACGTTTCCTTTGGAATGGTATTCGCCTTGGCTTTTGACAATTTTATAGCAGTTTTGCGACCAACAAAGTACAAAGTGTGGATGACGAAGCAACGAGCTAAGACCTGCATCGCTGTGATTTCGCTGACTGCACTCACATTTGCAATCCTGCCGCATGTGAATGTACCAATAAATACTGTCCTGAAAATTGATCTCCACTTTAATTCGACAGTAAACTCTACGCTTCTTGTTGCCTCTTATATTTTACTATACGCTGCCTTTCGAAACCACACAAAAAGGTCAAAAGATCTTCGACAAGAAAACAAACAGGCCTCGGGGAAACTCTTGGAACTTCAAAACAAGTTCCGCAGGGTTATATTTATTTTTGTTCTCATGTCCACTGTGCCGGCGATCCTGTCCACCATTTCTTTCCACATCGAGGCTTACTGCGTCCCCTGCCAGAAATACCAGACCATCGTCATTGTACAGCGACTTTGTCTTCATTTAATTTTCTTGAAATGTGCCTTGGATCCCTTTGCGTTCGGCTGGAGGCTTTCACGCAATAGGCAAGCCCTCAAGAAGATCGTCTGCTGTCATCTTCGGACTGTGAGACAGATTCGAAACTCTGATCGTGAAAACTTTTAAGCCTAGCGAGTCTTTTTTTCAAGAATTTTTTTCCTTGTTATGAGGACTCAAGATGTGTGTTCATTAAGATGTTATGATCATTATAGAATTTCTGCGCTCGTTTCTAAGACGTCATTTCGCTTGGAACCAATGGCAGCGTCGCGAAATGTTGGCTGTTTTCTCAGGCTGGTCAAAAATATTTTTGAAAATGTTATGCAGTATGGAAGAAAATGCAACCATGAATTGACGCGTATCAACAGAAGGTCAATCCCGCAATTCGCTGTACACTGCTTAAAAATCTCGCTCTTAACACTTTTGGCTTTTTATAGTGAATCTGTATACATCGCCATTTGAATTTTTAGGTGCAGATCTGGAAGTGAGATCAACATAAGAGTATTTGAGATGAGAAATTCTTTTTCAAAGCGTTTTGATCTGCCTGCTGTCAGGAGCGGCCTTCTGGTGTCCATCCTTTCATATAAATTCAAAACAAGTTTTCGTTCTCAACAGGAGCCGATTACCCGCCTACTGGTTCGCTCTAAAAAAGTTATTTTCATTATGGTGATTGGCTGTGGACTAGACCTCCTTTTGATCAGAGGTTTAATACTTCAAATCTGCGTATTATCTCACAGCGAGCCCAGCCACACAACAGCCAACCAGAAGCCAAATTAGAAGGATTTTGGAATTTATCGTAAGAGAAAAAGAGAGTCATGTCTCTGTGTTGTTTGCTAAAATGACGTTTAAAGGGCAGGAAACAGCAAGAGAACATCACAGGGACATGACTCTTATTTTTACCGTTTCGTCGATCTTACGATAAATTCCGATAGATTTGCTTTGAGTGGGCTGTTGTGTGTCTGGGCTCCCTGTGGTTATTTCAGCCAATAATTAACGTTATGT